AAGAAAATGTTCTGCATCCTACTTTGGTGAGTGGCATCTGGGGTCTTAAAAGCTTTCAAGTGGCCATCTAAGGTGCATCAATTGGTCCCAACCACCTGGAGTAAAGGAGAATGAAGAACACCAAAGACACTGGCAAGTATTAGCCCAAGAGACAGAAAGGGCCACATAAACCAGAGACTTCTTTAGCCTGAGACCAGAAGAACTAGATGGTGCCCGGCTACCACCAATGATCACCCTGACAGGGAACACAAGAGAGAGTCCCGGATGGAGCAGGAGAAAGGTGGGGTGCAGAACTCAAATTCTAGTAATAAGACCAGACTTAATGGTCTGACTGAGACTGGAGGAACCCCGGAAAGCATGGCCCCTGGATTCTCTATCAGCCCAGAACTGAAACAATTTCTGAGGCCAACACTTCAGATGGTCTAGACTGTGGGAATAAAGTGATACTCGTGAGGAGTGTGCCTCTTAGCTCAAGTAGATACAAGACACTAAACAGGCAGCTTCTGTCGGGAGGTGAGATGGGAAGGCAGAGAGGGTTAGGAGCTGGTTGAATGGACACAGGGAATCAGGGGTGGAAAGGAGTGTGCTGCCACAGTATGGGGAGAGCAATTAGGGTCACATAACAATGTATGTATAAATTTTTGTATGCGAAAAAATTAAAAAAAAAAAAAAACCAAACACGCTTGGCTGGCAAAAAGGAACGTGCTAAGGATGCATTCTAGCACCTAGAGAGACTGTAGCCCACTCCCATCACTGAGTGGGTAAGGAACTGGAAATGAGCTTGGAGAATAACAAGAAACTACTCTTTCCAAGTGAGATAGCCCACCCCTGGAATGAAAGGAGGTCGCACTCACTCCATTCCGGAGATCTGGGAGTGCACACAAGCCGCTCATAACTGCGAAGGCTTGAGTTCGGCCAGGCCAGCGCCGCTCAGTGCGTGTGGTTCTGCCACGGAAGGTCCATCCGCAAATCTGCATTCTTGCATCTCCTCCCCACCCTCCTTGCCAATTATTCTCTGATCAATTGTTTGACTGGCCCAAGGATGACTACCAAACTGAGGCCGAACCGTCCCTCTGCTGAATACCTCAGAGTACCCAGGGAGGGAACATACATGAGGCAACTGCCTTTAGTCAGGAAAGCTTTCACTTTACCTTTTTGCTTATTTAGGAACAGCAGAGGGGGCGCTGCGCTGGGCCCTCGCGGCCCAGAGCCCTTTGCGGCCGCGGGACTTGGGCTGGAACTGGCAGCTTCCGCAGGTCTCCGCTGCAACGTGGGCCCCTCGGGCGCCGCGTCTCGGTCTCCAGAAGACAGCTCGGGTCCGGTCTCGGGGGCAACTGAGGGGTACTTGAAGGGGTCAGGCTCGGCCTGGCCCCGCCGGCTCGGCGTGCCGTCTTCAGCCCGGGTACTGGTCTCCTCCCGTATGGCGTCCAGGGCGCCCGGCTTCATCGGGGGCGAATCCTGCTCCCGCTTGGGGCTCTCTTCCGAGGCCGAGGAGGCGTCGCACGACTCGATGATGAGCTCGCTGTCCAGCTCGGCCTCGCGTTCCTCCCTGAGAATGCTGTACTGGATGGACGGCGAGGCTGGCGAGGGCGGCGGGCCGCTCACGTGGCCAAAGGTCACGTAGCCCGAGGGCAGTGCGTCCTCGGCGGCCAGCGGGTCCTCTGACACCAGCTCAATCTCCGAGTCCCCTGACTCCGCGCTGCTGGCCTCGTGGTCCAAGGGGCTGGGGATAGCCGGCAGCCCGGACCTGGCTTTGGCCTCGGGCCTGTCGGTCACCTGGCCCACCGGCCTTGGGCTCTCCGTGGTTTCGTATGATAACCCCTTTGCTTCTTTAATGGCAGTGATCAGCTCATCCTCTGAGATGCTATATTTCCCCTGGGATTCTGCAGCAGATGGTTCTGTGTCCCACAGAAGGCAGAAAAGCCAGAGAGGCACACACACGGACAGACAGATGGACAGAGAGAGAAGAGAGAAAACAGACTTCCATTAGGGAAGATGTTTTGTCATTGCTTGAGAAACACATATCTCATTAGCACAAAAATATCTGTTTCCAGGGCTATGCTGGAAAGACAGGCTACCTGAACTAAAACGCTAATTACTTTTATGGCCCAATTAATCAGTGTTTTACATACCTATCTCAATCTAGCTATTTTTAAAAATGACCCAGCGATTTCTTAGCAACAGAACCTTGGGTGGTTTTTCTGCTTTGAAGCGGTAAAGATTCTAGAAGTCATTGTTTTGATTTCTGATTCATTCCTTCAATGATGTGTTTCAATTTCATAGAGGTGGCTTCAGATATTCTGATGGACATAACTCTCTAATTTGGCCCACCAATATCAGCAACATCTGAAAATAATGTATTACTCCTTATCCATTGCTGTTCATGTTCACCCTTTAATAAGACAACAACTTTGGATCCTTGTATACAACTTTTATTCTGAGCTTTACATTTCCTGTAAGAATCAGTATTTTCACTCTTTTTTCTTTTTTTTTAGTGTACAGTGCAACTGGGTGAAACAATGTAAGAAATGCAGGCTGTGCAGATTACCATAACGTACAAGCCTGCAGGCCTTCCAAGGGTGGAAGCCCACTGCCATTGTTTCCCCTCTCTGAAGTTCCTGTTGAGAAGAACTAAACCCTAGAGTCATCCTCAGTCCCCGGGATGAATGTCCGCCTTCTTCCAGATGTTTATCCAGATGGCCTATAAGCCACACTGGCAATCTTGCTGAGATTTCTCTGCCTTGGATGAGACTACCTGGGATCACCATGACAACAGTGTTCAGGAGCTTGGTTTTCTCTTGCCACACAGCAGGGCCTTATTTCAGAATATTCTAGACAATGGTCTCTGGCCCTTTTGTGAGCAAGAACTATCTGTCATTTCTCCAAAGCTCTGAGGTCACTGGGGAGATTTGAGGAGGGGGGAGAAGTGGTTAGGTAATCTGCTTTAGGATGTGGGAAAATCCCAATGGATAAAACATTTTAGAGTTTTTAAATTTTCTATAAAGCAGAATTGATGTCATCCTTTACCAGCATATCATTCATTCATCTATTATTTATTGAGAACCAACTATGTGTAAGGCCTCTTCTAAGCACTTGGGAAATATTCATGAATGAAACAGGTAATAAAATCCCTGCTATATTCTAGTGGGAGGAGAACACAACACAAAAACAATATACATAATTAATAAGTAAATTACATACTATGTTATGAGGGTAAGTGCTATAAAAAAAAGTAGAGCAGGATAAGGGGATTAGGAATAGTGAGAAGGGATTGGGATAGTTTTGCAATTTTAAATAAGGAAGTCAAGATAGGCCTCATTGAGAATGTAACATATATTCAAGACCTGAAGGACGTAAGAAAATGACTCATGAAGATTTCCACATGAAGATCATGCCAAGAAGAGGGAATAAATAGCACAAAGACCTGGAGCTGGGGGCTGCAATGATTTCTAGGTATTGCAAGGAGGCCACTGTGTCTGGGGCAAAGTGAACAAGGAGGAGAACAATAAGAAAGGAGGTCAGAGACATGGGCATTTAAAAAGATTTATTGCATGACTCCAAACCCTATTTTTTATACAGGTTATTTCCTTAATAAGTTGTGCACATAGTTCTTTGATATGATTTCCAATACCACAAAGATGTAAAAACTACATTTCTAAATGGTAGGCTAGAACAAGGAGGAAGAAGATAAGGAGTAAAGACTAGTGCACATTAAGAAACAATCTATACCTCCAGAGAACTGTCAGCAGTGGCATCGTCACAGTTCCATTTGCTGGGTGCCAGCAAAGGACTCTGACTGATAGAGCCCCATGCTTAAGAGTGACTTGGCTTGATTTTAAACTCAGGTCTTTCTGTTCCTTGTGCTTTCCACTATATCACACTACAGCTTTTATAAAAGGGGTGGGGTCTGAGGTGGGGTAAGTTATATTTTGAAGGATGAGATGAAAAGGAAAAGGGCACTGGATATCCACATAAAAAAGAATGAAGTTAGATCTCTAACCTCACACCATATATAAAATGTATATGTAAGAGCTAAAACTATAAAACTCATAAAAGAAAACATAGGTGTAAATCTTCAAGACCTTGGATTCAGCAATGGTTTCTGAGATATGACACCAAAAACACAAGTGACAAAAGAAAAAATAGATAAATTCGACTTCATCAAAATTAAGACGTTTTATGCTGAAAAAGAAACCATCAAGAAAATGAAAATAAAGGAGGAACGTCAACTATTTAACATGGAGGTGGAGGTCCATAAGCTGGAAATGATGTTCCAGAAGGCTGATTCTGATTCGGATTGCATTCTGTACAGGCTGGAATATGGATTCAAGAACAATCATCCTGATCTAGCTGGTACAAAAAATCCTGTTACACTCTTAAAGGAATTGTCAGTGATAAAGTCTGGATATCAGACTTTGCATACATGCTTTAAACCAATTGCTGTTGAACAGAAAGAGACTAAGGGCTACACTTGTGTCACTCTGAATAAGACTGTGACCATGATACAAGAACTACAAAAGCTAACAGATCTGAAGCTGTCACCACTGACTAAAAACAGAAAACTGCAGAAAAGCAATTAAAATCTCACATGCCAGACTTGTGAAGAAATGGACTTGGAAAAGGCAACTCTAATGGAGAAGAGATCAATTCCAGAGAAATTTAGGAAGATGTTTTGTTAACACTTGCTGACTAGAGGTGGGAGCTGGTGAGGTTGGGGTGGATGACTGGATAGTGATGCCTTTCACAAGAGAGCGGAATATAAGAAAGGCACATATTATATGAATGAAGTTCAGCCAAAAGAATGGAAGAGGAATAAAGGGATGTAAACAATATATTCCCACTTAGTCTTGTAATTTCAGGCAAGAAAATCCCTTTAAACTATTTTGCATCTTTTTTTTTTTTGGTATAATCAGGATGTATAATGTAGATGTCCTGGCATATTGTAAAAGAATGTTAATAGGTACTATCAGTCAGTCAAAATGTGAATGAGTGTGCTTTCAAAATAAAAGGACAGACAAAATATTTATATTATATATTATCTATCACATATATGTATATATATATATATGTTTTCATTTTTTTAAATGTTGATTAAAGATGTAGTTACATTATTGGTGAGACTGCTAACACCCAATATGTGACCTACAGTCTCACATGAAACCTAACTAAAATAATAAGCTTACTTTCTCTGTGACAGTCTCCCTTTTGTTTATTCTTTTCCTATTCCTTCTGCCTGCTAATGTTGAGCAGCATCAGCTGTTTCCAAATGCTGCTTTAAAATGCTCATGTTGTATTTCAATATTCCCTTTGTTGTCCTTCATCCTATATTATTGTAATTGTTTATTATATATGAAAGCTAATAATATATGATAAATAATATATGATTAAAAAAGAAAATGAAAACACAATCCACAGAATGGGAGAAATTTTACAAATCATGTATCTGATAAGGGACTTGTATCTCGAATATATAAAGAACCGTTACAACTCAATAATAAAGAGACAAGATAACTCAATTTAAAACATTGGAAAGGGCTTGAATAGAGAGTTCTCCAAAGAAGATATACAAATGGTCAATAAGCACATGACTAATGCTCAGTATCTTTAGTTATTAAGGAAATGTAACTCAAAACCACAATGAGGGACCAGTTCACACTCACTATGATGGCTATAATAAAAGACAGCAACAAGTGTTAGCGAAGATGTGGAGAAATTGAAAACTTCATACGTTGCTGGTGAGAATGTAAAATGGTGCAACTGCTTTGGAAAACTATCTGGCAATTCCTTAAACCATTAAACACTGAGTCATCATATGACCCAGTAATTCCACTCCTAGGTATCTATCCCCCCAAAAATGAAACATATAACCACTTGTACACAAATATTTATAACTGCATTATTCCACAGTAGCCTAAAAGTAGAAACAACTCAATATCATTCAATTGGTGAATACATAAATAAAATATAGTGTATATTCATGCAAGAGAATATTATTCACCAATAAAAAGACATGAATTAGATACACACTATAACATAAATGAACCCTGAAAACACTATGCTAAGTGAAATAAATCAGTCACAGAGAACCACATACTGTATGATTTCATTTATACGAAATTTCCAGAATAGGCAAAACAGGCAAATCTATAAAGAAAGTAGATCAGTGGTTGCCTAGGGCTAGGGGCAGGGGAGGAGTGGGGGAATTTGGTGGTGATGGGTAAGAGGTACAGGGCTTCTTTTTAGGGTAATGAAAATGTTCTAAAATTTATTGTGGTGATAAAGTCACAATTCTGTGGATATACTAAAAGCCACCAAAATATATACTTTAAACGGATGACTTGTATGGTATGTGAATTATATTTCAATAAAGCTGTTAAAAAAAAAAAGAAAAAAAGATGGAAGGAGACTTGGTCCCTGAATTAGCACATATAGGAGAATTGCCCAATCACATTGAACTGTGCCATGAGTGAGAAGTAACTTTTGTTATGTCAAGCCACTGAGATTTGAGGATTTTTCTGTTACAAAAGCTAGTGGAATATACCACTTCAATCTGGATTCTGCCTTCTCTGCTCACCGAAGTTCCCTGATGACCTCTGATTCACTTTTGAGTTCCCATCTTGTGTGATTTCTTAACAGCACTTGACAATTGTCCTCTCTTCCTTTGGCTTCTGCAACACCACCCTCTTTTAGATTTTCCTTCTAGCTCTCCTAGCTCTCAGTCATCTTTGTGAGCCCCTTAATTTTCTCTTCCCAGCCATTATCTGTTGGCCTTCCCCAGAGCTCTACCCTGGGTTCTCTTCTCACTTTATGTTCTGTCTCAAGATGATTTCACCCACTTCTACCATCAATAGGTCTCAGTTACCATCACTACGCTGATGACTCGAAGTCTCTGGGTGGCACAAATGGTTACGTGCTTAACTATCAACCGCAATGTTAGTGGTTTGAACTTACCCAGAGGCACCTCAGAAGACAGGCCTGGTGATCTGCTTCTGAAAGGCCTTGAAAACCCTCTAGAGCAGTTCTATTCTGTATACATGCCATTGCCATGGATGAGAAGGCACTCAATGGCAAATAACAGTAACAACAACAACAAGCTGATGACTCACAACTTTGCTCTCCCAGAGAACAGGAAGAAAACAAGGCAGAATGGGCTAAGTGTAACTGTATAGTACAAAGTACTAGAGGAACTTACAACGGATAATGGAGGAAGTTCATTTCAATTAGTCTTGAAATACAAATAGAGCTTCAAATGCAGAAACAGTCCAAGAAGAATCAACTACATGAGCAAAGATATGGAGTGCGTTCAAACAGCAGCAAATTCAGAAGTTTAATTGGAGTATTGTCGGAGATGATACAGGATGACGTAACTGGAAAGATAAGCAGGTCCCTGTTCATGGAAGGTCTTGGAAACTGATTTAAGAGTCAGTACTTTATCAGGCAGGTACTAGTGGCTTCTGGAAGAGTTAGGATGAACTTAGGAGAGAAACAAGTAGAAGGAGGATGATCCATTCAAAGAGGACATTTACAATAGTTGAGAGGAGGAATTATGATAACTTAAAGGGTAGTGGTACTGAAAGGATGGAAAGGAGAGGAAAACCCTAGAGACACTGAGGAGAGGGAAACAACAGACATTGGGTCTGATTCCTGTGGTAGGTGAGAAAAGGCAGGGCATCAAATATCATTCAGAAACAGTGAGCCTAGATGAGTAAAATGAATAAGGATTCCATATTCAGAAACATGGAAGTCAGTAGAACAAGCTGGTTTGATGAGAAGAGGGATGAAAATTTTTATCTTGGATGTTTCTTCCCTTCCTGTTGCATAAACCAAACCAAACCTGTTGCCGTCAAGCCAATTTCGACTCATAGCGATGATACAGGACAGAGTAGAACTGCCCCATAGGGTTTCCAAGGAGTAGCTGGTGGATTCGAACTGCTGGCCTTTTGGTTAGCAGCCAAGCTCTTAACCACTGCACCACTAGGGCTCCAATATATCCTTCCAATTTCTTCTACTGGAAGCCTCTGTCTGACCACTCAAACTACTCGATCTGATTATGAACTCCTGCTTGCACGGTATTCCTAGAAGACTACATAGCAGGCAGGCAGGGCATGGGCTCAGAGGGTCACAAGTGGTCCTGCAGGATAGCCCACCCTGTATGCCAGCTGGCCTGATGCTGCGTAGTTCAGGAGACAGGCTGGTGCTTACTCATTCCTTACAACCAGGAGCCTCAGGCAGCTTTTTATATTTGTTTGTGTGATGATTTTATTAATGTCTGCCTCTTCACCCTTTGTCATTCTCCCTGAGTCCAGACTGAAAGCACCATGAGGGCAAGGGCCAGCCGAGGTATGTTATCATATGCTCAACACCTCATGCAGTGCCTGGCACACAGTAGGTACTCAATAAATAGCACTCATGTGAAAGCTAGGTCAAATCTTTAGAAGAGTTCATTTGGCTCAAAACTGCCCTTAGAGAGTCTGACTTAGTATGAATAGGCCTGGATGGGGCCCAGACAACTGCATTTTGTAACTCTAAAGGTAATTCTAATATTCACCTTCAGTTAAGACTTCCAGATTTAGCCAATGAAAATACAGGATGCCCAGAAACATTTGAATTTTAGCTAAACAATGAATACTCTTTAGCATAAGTATGTCCCATGACGTATTTGTATTGTATCTCGCCCTTTGAATTATGGTGTTGGCGAAAAATATTGAATATACCATGGACGGCCAGAAGAACAAACAAATCTATCTTGGAAGAAGTACAGCCAGAATGCTCCTTAGAAGTGAGGATGGCGAGCCTTCATCTCACATACTTTAGACATATTGTCAGGAGGGATCAGTCCCTGGAGAAGGACATCATGCTTGGTAAAGTACAAGGTCAACGAAAAAGAGGAAGACCCTCAGTGAGACAGACTGAACAGTGGCTGCAGCAATGGGCTCAAACAAAGCAATGATTACGGGGATGACGCAGGACCAGGCAGTGTTGCATTCTGTTGTACACAGGGTCACTATGAGTCAGAACCGACTCAACGGCACCTGACAACAACAACAACATCTGGCAACACTACCTCCAGTTGAAAATGACTGTTTTAGAGCATTCAGCAAAGATGGCTACAGGATTTAGTTTTATTTACTCACGAGAAAGAATAGTATCAGCTATGGAGTGTGGGAGGAAAGGCCTGATGGGTTTCACCATGAGCAAATGAAGGTACTACACTAAAAGTAATCCATACTTAACCCACCCCCACTGCCAGAGACTCAATTCTGACTCATAGAGACCCCATGAGGTTTCCAAGGCTGAAAATCTCTAAGGAAGCAGACTGCCACATCTTTCTCCCTCAGAGCCACTGGTGGTTTTGAACCGCCAACTTTTCGATTAGCAGTGAATCACTTTAACCACTGTGCCACCAGGGCTCCTTAATCCATACTTAGCATGAATCAAAGGGGACTCAGTAGTCCTTGATGACGTTTTCTTCATTCGTAATGGGAACTAAAAGTTCAACAAAATGCTAGAAGGAATCTGGAATAGAATAGTTTTCCCATTCTTGTTTAAAGCTTTGTGTTCCTGCAGTTATGATACTAGTTATTATGTGTCAAGACTGACACAGCAAAGCTACAAACAGTCAACTAAAATAATCAAATAGATATAAAACTGGAGAAGTTAGAACTGCCCACCTGGGGAGATGTGTTTGTGGATGATGATAATTACAATAATGTAATTAAGATAAGTAGAAATGTGAAATAGGCCAGTTTAGCAAGTCGCAGACGCCAATATCCAAGTGTGAAGATGCAAGAGTTAGAGATGCAAAGGCTAGAGAAGGTGGGGATGTAGGGGTTGCCTCTGCTTCTCCCACACAGGATGAGGTGGGACAGGGTGGGGTGTGGAAGCTCCTGCTGCCACTCTGCCACCTGGGATATAGGAGGCCCCTTCTGTGCTTAAGAGAATGAGTTCAAGATTGGTTTAATATTTTGCCTTGAGTCAGAGGAGGAGAATGTTTAAATTGAAAAAGATCACAGCTTAGCGGATTCCAAACTTCTTTAACCAAAAAAAAACCACAAAACTTTAGTTTTAAAAAATAAAATCACATGCAGAACTTTAATAAAGTAAGAAGATAAATATGACAATGCTGAGTTGCAAGGGGAGGAGAGGAGTATCCTTCATTTAGGTTTCTTCTCACTGTCCAATCCTACCCCTATCAACATACACTGACAACTCCCCGCCGCCCCACTGTCAAACTTAAAGATGGGGCCCGGAATATTAAAAGCTCTCCTCAAAGAGCTCCAGTTGGTCTAGGGGGAAGAGGTCTGGAGAGAACATTGAAGGTGCTCTCCCCATGATGCCTCCAGGAGACCACCAGGTCTGGGAAGAAGAGCTAACCCAGAAGCAAGTAATACCTCTCTCTGTGATCTGAACAGAAGGGCCATATGAGGATCTTAAGGTTTTCAATGTTATCATACCTCTCCCCTCAAATGAAGAAAGAAACATTTTACTAAGCAAATCTGATAGGACTTTAAGGAAAATTCCAGATCTCAACTTTTATACAATCGGTAAAAAAGTTGTTTGTTAAATAAATTGGTTAAACTAAATGATATTTAAGGAAGGTCATACAGTAAATTATTTTGAGTGCCAATCTTCATTCGTTAATATGTGTTTTAGGAATTTGGATTTCTATGTGTGGGGTTTTCCCAAGGGAGGGCACACCAGCTCCTTTACCTGTTCCAGAAGATGGAGGAGTGACAGATCCTGGACTGTCATCCTCAGGCTCTGAGACAGTAACAGTGGGGACTGTGTCAGGACTTGGTTTCAGACAGATGTCTTGCTTCTCAGGGGTCTTCTCTTGGGTAGCAGTCTCAACAGAAGGTTCGATCTCAGTCAGCGTGATTTTGACGGGGGCTGTGATCACAGGAGCACGGTGCTGTTCTTCAGGGAGATCATCTATATAAGGTGTAAATGTTGACTCTTCAGATAAATGGTCCTTGATGATCTTTCCCTCCACAGGAACTGGTTTCTCAGGTTCAAGGACCCCTTCTGATTTTGTTGAGATTCCAGTGTCTTTATTCTTAAAATCCAAGTCTTTATCCTCCAACTTGGGGTGACATTGTTCCTTATGCTTCACTTCTTCTGGCCTGGTTATGTCAATGTATTTATAGGCTTCTGCTTTCATCTGGTCCAGAGGATCTGCTAAGATCTTGTTCACTTCCATAGACTCTGCAGGAGTCATCTCTATTCCGGAATCAGAACTAAATAAGCCATGCGGCTCCGTGCCAGGCACATCTGGCAAAGAGGGTCCAGGAGTACGCAACTCTTCAGGGCTCTCTGAACTGGTGACATGGCCATTTTTCTTCTGAAGAATTCCAGTGAAATATGTAGAATCCACCTGAGGTGGGTAACAGACATCGGAAATAAGAGACGTGTAACAGCTTCCTTCTCCATCTTTTGATGTCGTTGAAAAGGTATGATCTATGGCACTGGGAGCATCTGCCACACCTATGAATCAAAACAACAGCACACAGTGAGTGGGGACCTGGCTTCAGTCCTCTGTCCTGTAACCCACTGCCCATCCCAAAGCCTATGGAGACCGGGCACCTTTCCCCCCAGAGAGACCCCAGAGTTCTCTCAGAGCACTGGTATGTTAATTTGCCTTGTCTCTCTGATATTCCACAGCACACAGAATTTTCCTGGCAGCAAACCACAGAGGCCCACACAAGCTACCACGCCCAGATAAGCTGCAGAGGGATTCCAGAGGACGAGAAAATTGATTTTCAACATCTGCTACCTCAATGCACAACGACTTGATCTTAGTAACATTAAAGAGAAAACTTGTTTGTATCAAAGTATGAATGGCTCTTTAAGTTGTGGCTGAAATGTAGGGTATTTCAGGTTTGTAAATGCAACAAGAGGACAGTAGACTGGGGGGTGGGAGGGAACCTGCTTTTGGACACTCACAGAGCTGGAAGAGGCCTCAAGAGAGCCTATGGTCCAGTCTTTGCGTTCATAGACTCCTGCCTCTTCCTGGATGGACACCATCCATTCTTTATTTAAAGGTCCTCAAAGAAAGGACTCCTAGTTTCCTGATGGCCCCATCCCAAAGTAGTAGCACCTTAATGGCACACCTCCTTAATTATTCAGTTTCCCCTCGTTTTGTTTCCCTTTCTCCTTCACTCCTCTACTGCCCAGTCTTTGCCTTCCAGGAGGATTCAAAATGACCCACTGGAGATTTCTTAGTTCCACTGGTGGTGCTAAGAGCAAAGCAAGTTTCCAAGTCTCAGTCTATAGCATGTTTACACCTGGCCTTCATTATACTAATAAACCAGCCAAAAAATTCATTCATAGTGAGAAGAAAAGGAGAACCCTCTATTGTTTTTCTTTGCTGTAAAATACTGTCAGAGGAGAAGAACATTAACATTAACTGAGGTTTCACTATGTGTTAAACAATGTGATTTTACCTATGAAGTAAGTAAGCCCCACTCTCACAACACATACACACAAACATATCACACACACATACACACACACAGAGCACAAACAACATAAAAACCCTTAAGACATGCCCCAAAATAATCCAGATTAGGGCACCAACTGATATAAAAGAAATAAAAAATAGTTGTTGTTGGGTGCCATTGAGTCAATTCTGACTCACAGTGACCCCATGTGACAGAGTAGAACTGCCTCATGGGGTTTTCTTGGCTGTAATCTTATGGAAGCAGATTGCCAGGTCTTTCTTCTGCAGAGCCACTGGGTGGGTGGGAACTGCACAGTAATATAATGATATTAATCACTAACATTTGTGCTTGCTATGTATTAGGCATAGTTCCAAGCTTTTGATTAATATTGGCTCATTTGATCATAAAAGCAATCTTAGAAGGCTGATACTATTTGTGATGGTTGAGATTGTGTGTCAACTTGGCTGGGCCATGATCAGTGTTTTAATGTAATCACTCCCATGATTGAACATACTGTGAGCAGCCAATCAGATGAAAGGGAGTCTTCTTGGGGGTGTGGCCCGCATCTGTATATAAGCAGACGTTCTGGCTTTTTGCTCTCTCTGGATCCTGCAGCTGCTTCCTGTCATCTCATCTCCCGTTCTTGGGACTTAAGCTGTCAGTTTATCTGCTGAATCTGGGATTCGTCAATCTGCACAGCCTGTGAGCAGGAGCCCTGTTCTCCGACCTGCCTATCTTGGGCTTGCCAGCTTCTGCAGCTGTGTGACTTGGGAGAGGCCTCCACCCTGATCCACGAACTTGGGATGTTCTAGCCTCTACAACCACGTGAGCTGTTTCCTTGATATAATCTCTCTGTATGTATCTATATATTTATACACTTTACTGGTTTTGCTTCTCTAGAGAACCCAACCTAAGACACTATTATTAGTCTCATTTTACAGATGAGGAAACTGAGGAACAGAAGGGCTAAATAACTTGTCTAAGATCTCACGGACAGGAAGTGACGGAGCTAGGATTCAAGCCCAAGCAGCCTAGAAGCCAGGAAACCTCCCCTCATGCCCTTTTCATCTTCTTAAATCAGTTTGTGGATTTTTTTAAAGTAACTTTGAATCAGTAGTTTTACAATTAAACTTAACTTTTATCCTTTCCTAGCTTTCTTCTTGGTTGTTTGTCTATGGGGAATGGAAAAGCACAAAACCTCTTCACTAATTCACCACTCTCCTGCCTCAGCAGCTTTGCACTAGCTGTTCCCTTTGCTTGGAACACCCTTCTCCCAGATATCTGCACACCTAACTCCCTTACCCCCAAGTCTTTGCTCAAATGTCACCTTCTCAATGAGGACTACCCTGATGGCCCTCTAAAACTGCAACCTGCCCTCCCCTCCCCATTCCTTGGCACTCCTGTTCTCCTCTACCATTCTCTACTTCTTCTTTTCCCTGCATCACTGAGCTCCTTCAATCATACTGTATAATTTACTTATTTATTGTTTGTCTCCCCTTGCTAGGCAAGCTCCATGAGCACAGGACTCTTTGACTATTTTGTTTACTAATGTTACCCAATACCTAGAACATGACCTGGCACATTAGTAGGTACTCAATAAAAAAAGGAATAATAATGATGATGGGCCGTATTGTCTAAGTGTGCACAGACCACCAACAGAAAAGCTATTAGATTTAAATCCATGTATGCACACACCTTTTATCCTGAAGAGTTTTTAAAGCTCCTTCATTACATGGACTTAGCTTACAAGTAGGCCTCACTAGAGGCAGAGAGATCAATTCTGAGATATTTTACTGCAGACATTTGGGCCCTGGGATTCTCTGCCACAATTATTTGCAACCTTCAGGTTTTAATAAGTCATTATTCACTAGAAAGTAAGGAGAATTTTGTCCATGGCTATAAATAGCCTACGGCTTGGGGAGTAGGGAAGGAGATGCTCTCCTGGAGAACACACAACACACAGTAGGTAGTTTCTAGGGCTGTGTTACAGTCATTATCATTTATCACTCAATGCTTCCTTTTCAGGAGCCACCAAAGAACTCTGACCCTTATCACCGATACTTGGCCTGCTGCATAGCCCTCCAGCTCACTGTCTCCTGCCACCAGAGTTATCACACTAAACACAACTGCCATCTGCTCAGCAACCACAAAGGGCTCTGTTCCCCCTCGCTGGATAATCCTTAAGCTCCATAGCTTGGCTACTGAGATGACGTGAATTCCACCAGGCATCGCAGCCCTGTCTTACTGCTTGTCTCACCACTGTAATATAAATGCCACAAGTGGGTGGCTTTAAAGAACAGAAATTTATTTTCTCACAGTTCTGGGGGCTAAAAGTCCAAATCAGGGTCTCAGCCGTGTGGATTCCTTCTTTTTTGGTAGCTTCGAGCATTCCTTGGTTCTTGGCGATCCCCGTATGGCATCTGTCTTCCCCAGTATGTGCTCACATCTGTGTCTAATCTTCTCTCTTTATAACTCAGAAGTGATTGGGTTCAGGGTTCAGGATTCAGCCTACACTGGTATGGCCTCATTAACAAAACAAAGAAAACCCTATTTCCAAACAGGATTACATCCACAGGTATTACCCATTGCTGTTGAGTCGATTCTGACTCACAAAGACCCTACAGGACAGAGTAGAACTGTCTCATACGGTTTCCAAGGAGTAGCTGATGGATTTGAACTGCCGACCTTTTGGTTAGCAGCCAAACTCTTAACCACTGTGCCACCAGAGCCTCCCCACAGATAAAAGGGTTAGGATTTTAACATATATTTTGCAGGGACACAATTCAATCCATAACACTGCTCCTCTCACTTACCCTCCCCTCCAGGCATACAAGGAGACCTGATGGCACACTGGTTAAGCGCTCAGCTGCTAACTGAAAGGTTAGCAGTTCGAACCCACCAGCCGCTCCACAGGAGGAAGATGTGGCAGTCTGCTTCCATAAAGATTACAGCCTTGGAAACCCCATGGGGCAGTTCTACTCTGTCCTATAGGGTCGCCATGAGTCAGAATCAACTCGATAGCAATGGGTTTGGGTTTTTTATCTAGGCATACAAAGCCCTACTCAACTTTGCACTTACTCAACCAGTTTTTCTAGGCTTTTCTAGCTCTGCCATCCACTCTCCATCTCAAACTCTAGCTAATATAAAATACCTATCACTCCTCTAACACTTTGTCCTTCCAGGCTCCACATTCAAATCTCTGCCATTGAACCTCAAACCATTCAAGATAAACATCTATAAGTGCTACCACCTCCATGATGAATTTGCTGACCATTCCTATTGTCCTCCCTCCTCATTCATGTAACAATTTATACCACTCATGTGTCATGTATGACATATGTCATATATGTCCACGTTATCTCTCGCCTGTCAGATCCTGGAGTTTGAGGCTCATGTTTTATACACTATATTGTACACAGAAGACATCTAATACAAAATGAATAATGGATCACTCAATCAGTGAACTTATTCTATGCAGCTACTGAGAACAAACAAAGACTAATTAATGTAAGTTACAAAGAGAATGTTTTTAATCTGCCATGTGAAAGAACACTCTAACAATTTGAGTGTTTCTGGTCATGGTGGACGCTTGGGCAGAGAGAAGCTCAGCGTCTATGGCAGGTCATGGGCAGAAACCTGAACTCCGAGGGAGGTTAGATGAGACAACTGCAGAAATCCCCTCCCACTTTCTATGATTTTGTACTGATTGGCTGATGCTGTAGTCTGATTCAACTTCCTTTACTTCTTCCCTTCTTATACAACAGTATCAATATCATTTCCCCAAGGTGATACCTCAGAGAATAGGGGCCTCCCAGATGTATGGTAATAATTGAGGGAGCAGGACCTAGATTACATTTACACTATTTGAGAGATTAGAAATAAAGCCAACAATCGGGAAGAACTCTTACACTTAAATTTCTTATCCTACCAGCTATGCCTTGCTTAGAGAGCCCAGCATAAAATTGGAAGGACTCCTTTGCCACATTCAACAAATGCCACCAAGTAGAGGAAGAGGAATAAAGTCATTTCTATAAACCATACATT